TATGTATACATATTCACCTGGAAAATAAGAATTGTTGTGCTTGTGTGTTTCCTTAGAATGAGCCGTTTTTATATACAGATAGAGCGGGTCCTCTTCCACATACATTTCTGCCATAGCACTGAATCCTGACTGTATTAGTGAAGTTGTCTCGTTGAAATGAATGAGATGAGTTCTAATGTCGGTCTGAATAAGGCATAAGACCATCTAATGCTTTCACAACATACCATGATTACTGTGTTTATTTTGCTTGTGTTTGTATTGTGCATAAGCTCATATACCTGCTGTATATTGAAGAATGTGATATTCAGCTTCTCATGTAAACTCACTACCAAAGCTGAATTAGGTGAGGCTTCGCCAATGAGAACCTCAGGTCTAATATGTCCATTAAGTAGTCATACATGTTGCCTCTATGGGGAAAAAGTCTGAGCACAGCAAATTTTTCTAAAGATTTTTGAATAATAGTGACAGTTTCCTTTGACAGCAAATACTGACTTTTTGTCATTACAAAGTTTGTATTTTGTTATTTTAAAAGACCCTTTTGTAACAAATGTTTTCTAGCCTGGAGTGATAGGGACTTCTTAATTGTCACCAAACTAAACAGAGTTTTTTGGTTTATTGCAAGACAAGAATCCACCAGGGATAAATTATGGTTGTAATAAACAAGTATTAGGTGTCTAATGTGGGAGTAACACATTGAATATCAACAGTACGAGTTCAGCAGTGCATTTATTTTCTCAAAAGGATGAGATCCTTAAACAATGTCAGTGGGTATTTTTATATTTCAGTCATTTCGAGTGTGGCTCTTTGTGGTTTTACGAGGCATTACAGTGGCAGTTCAGAGCAGCTAGAACTGCAACTGTTGAAGCCTTTCAGCATTTCTGCCAAGACTGTGGGGATTCCAGAGACAGGCACATGGAGAGTAGTATAATTGGTGATCGTTCCCATTTGCTTTTACCATCGGGGAGAGTGTACAGTGTAGCAGTAACAAACATACGCATTCTTTTATCCCAGAATCTATTCGAAATGCTGAATAAATGTTGAGCAGAGCGAGGTCACATTTTTTTTTTTTTACAAGTTTTGTTGCAAGAGGACTTTGCCTCAAAAATCAGTGTGGTTGTCTTGCAACAAAGTTTTGCAAAGTTTCTTTGGAACTATAACACTTAGAAACTTTTTGAGCAGTCATTAAAACTTGATGCTATTGTAATGTATCATAAATATTTAAAGAAATAATCCCTTATTTGGGGACAGTGATACTTTTAGTGCTGTGATATTAGCATGAGTACATATTTGCACGAGTTCTACAGTGAAGACAAAAATCGGATGAGTCATATTGTCACTTCACTGAATTAAAGAATGAAGAGAGAGACAGGGAATGAGGGATATACATATTTTGCCATCCTTGGTGATAACATTAATGTCAAGGTGGAAGGGGGAAGGAAGACATCAAAGCTAATGAATATTTATGGGTGCCCACAGTAAAGTGCTGTTTTAGAGTGAAGTGGGACAGAATGGCCTCATGAAGACAGCACTTTAGGGTCTACTCTTGCACAGACCGTGGGTCTATGAATATTCATTGTTCATTGTCCCAAAAACAATTTGCTTAACGCTTTTGACTTCTTTTCATCCGTAAAATGTGGGTAAGGATTTACCTCTGCATGGTTTGGCCTATAATGCTATCTATCTTCACTTTTGATAGGTCTGAGATTAGATAAATGTTTAATGAAAAAGTGTTAGATTTGTTTTTAAGGTAAAGATATGCTATCTATATGCATCTCCCGATTCAGAGTTCCAATGGGAAAACAGAAATGCTATTTGTCATATTACTATACTATAGAATATAGCATTTCATTCATATTGAATATCTGGATTTAACAGTTCAGTGACATTGTTAGCGGAACATGTGTCACAGGCTGTAGCGCAGTCTGTATGGATGTTATATCACAGCCTATTTTGTTTGAAAGTACGAGAGCGTGTTCAAGTGACAGTCTATAACCCCATCATATGCCAGACAGCATGATGTCCTTTAGCATATTTTCACAACATGCTACATTAGCCTTCCCTCAGCCCAACTGTGCCATGCATTTGTCAAAGTGTCACCGCAGACAGAGCCAGCGCTTTAAAAAAAAAAAAAAAAAAAACTTTATGTCCCGTGTTCCGCGTGAAGAGTCGCATGCGAGAATCCTGCGGAAGACAACGCAATCCAAACGGTGGCAGCGGAGGGAGTAAATGAAAATAGAAAGCAGAAAAGAAACACATTTCCAGGTCAGGACATATAGGATGTTTCTATGGTTACTTGTCTCACACTACTGCCATCTCCCAAAGTAAACACACACAATGGCTTTATGTTGTCCAGTGTTTGTGGTCTGGGTTACGGTAGTATTTTTCGTGCACAGGTGCACATATATCTTATTGTCTTCTTCTCTACCAGCTGGTTTTGCTTCACAAACATGCCCCCACACTTTCACCCAGTTTGCTGAGAAAAATAAATAAGAAGGAAAGACTTTTCTCCATATTCCAGCCAAATTAGCAGCCGTGCAATACTATTCCACTCTAAATATACTCTACTATTTATTCTGCACAGCAGGTGAACTTGTGGTTACAGAGACCTTCCCCTGACCTCAGAGAAACAGATTTAATATCTGCAAAATTGAATGTCTGTGTCCATCAAAAAACCCCAAAACATTTTATGCACTGTAACATCATTCTGAGTCATCATCAGCAGAATGCCTAAAACCTAAAGAAGATTTTTTTTATTTTTCATGGTGAATGATGCAAATAATGCACATATTTTCATAATTCTAATTCTAATGCCCTGCTCCCTCCAGCATCTCCTCCTCCATCTCTCCTGTTTTGGCACCCCCCTCCATCATCTGTCTGCCTTTCATGTGTTTCTAGCTCTCATTAACAGCTCCCTCATGTAAGCCCAAGTGCCTCTTACTGTCCAACCGCTGTGGGGGGTCACCTCTTGACATGGTGAAGTAAGCACAGTTCCTAGCCTCTTACCCAGGCCCCGTGGACTATGTGGCCAATGCTGGAGAGCCTCAAAAGACTTACATAAATCCTGTGAAGTGCAGGCCACTGCTGTGTTTCATTAACCTAGGCCTTAGGGAAGTGGAGTACTTGCTCGAAAGTCACACACGTGCTTCGTTTTTTTTCAGTTGCGTCACATGTTAAATAACCTTGGTCGGTGCTACCAGGGAGACCTATTTGATTAAAGCAGGTGAGGAAAGGAGAAAGCGGTGTGGTGTCTGTTTGCTGTCAGATTTTGGGAAATGTAAAAGGAAACAGCATGGCCTGTCCAAAGCAGTATGTTAGTTTGACAGCAATCCACAAGTGTTTTGCTTCTTCTTTCTTTATTTCAAGCTTCGGCGTGTCACCTATGGTTTCCGAGTGACGAACGCGAAACAGAGTGGTTAAAAAAAAACCTTGTTTTTTTGACAAATATTACGATTGCGATATGATTTACTATTAGTGGCAATGATCTGATTCGCTTCAAAAGAATCATTTTCAGTGGAAAAACACTATTCAAATCTAATTGTGTTCATACATCTAGAGAGCAAGATTTGTAGGCCAGTGCGTCTCTGCAGCACTACAGTAGCGTACTTCACTCTAATGCTATTTTATCACACATTTAACCTTAATCAAAAAATTATAGCTTCTGTGGTTGTATCCATTTAAAAATAGAAGCACTCTAGTATTTCTTTGCACAGAATCCCTTCATTTGTTAACAAGGCTTTTACTGTTTTATGTTAATCAAAGGTAACTCAATGTAAAAATATAGCAGCGCTGTTGTAGATTTAAACAAACTGGGCAGACCAAATAGCTAATGATAAATTAACTGTCTTAGCATCTGTGTTGTAACGTTATTTTACCTGATTAGGAATTCCTAATACTTTTTTTTAAAGAAATTTAAACCTGCATGCATTTTTAATTCTTTATATGACAAGAACTTGACTACACAATAGTAGCATTGATGATAGTTAACGTGATGTTAGCTGTCCAGATACTTTGCTATCTAAGGAGCTGATTGCACTCAAAAAACAAAAATAAATAAACTTTAGCCGGCCTGTCCACAACAACAGGTTGTCATGTCTTAAATTTATTTTGGACACAAATAGGTCAGGCATTGGTTTTGCTAAGCATTTCTTGTATTACAGTATAAAGTTGTGTCTCTGGGTTAGAATTCTGGGTTGCAGAGAGGCATTTGTTGCACGGTGATATTGCAGAGAAAGTTGTCTGGGTATCATGCTATAAGGTTAGTGGTAGAGTGGTGCCAACATTTCCCATCTCCCACATATCCTCTTCAACCTGCGTTTATACAGAACCACTTGAAAATCTCAGGTGATGGAGCAGACACACACTGTGTACAAAAATGTAGTGGGTATTGAAGTAGTTTAGCAGGGAAAATACTAAAACACTATATGCTGTATATGGGTTTTTTTTATTTTTTTTATTTTTTTTGTGTTTGTATTGTGTGAGTCAAAATCAGGCTGTTGGCGGACCCTCACTGTGTCGGTGATGGTAATAGTTTGCCAGAGCCTTGGGGGAGCTGCTCAGCAGGCGATGGTGTGCGTCTGTACGTGTGTGTGCAAGTGCCTGTGTGTTTGTGTGCACATATCAGCAGGAAAGGGTAGAGCATGCCCCACAGTGCATGTCTCAACAGCCAAGTCATCAACCCTTTTAATCCAGCCCAGCAGGGGTGTGTTTGTGTGTTTCTTTTGACAGTGTATGTGTGTGCGGGCGTTTGAAGAAGAACTTTATGAGAACTGCTGCCATAAACTTGGTTATTTTATACTCTGAGGCAAGGCAGACATATTTTCAACCAGACATGATTCTTTGTTCTTGACGGGAATATTGATACGTTAATTTTGTTTGTGTCGTGTTAGTTTTGTCAGGTTGTGTTTGAAGATATTGTCTGATGTGTCTAATGTTGAGCCCCCTCTCTCCCCCCATCCTCCTCTCTCCCCCCCCACCCTCCTCTCTTCTCTCTTCCCCTGCAGGACGAATGTCATAGGATGAACACTGCTGGTGGGGTGTGTCTGTCTGTGCTGTCCTCTCTCCTGGCTGTGGCTGGGGCCCTGGCTGCCGTGTCTGCCCTCGCTCTAGCTCCTCTCTCTGCCCTGGCTGAGGCTGCCTATGGGGTTGCCGATGGCGTCCCCAGCACCGGGGCAGAAGGGGCCCCCTCGCCCATCTCCTCACCATGCTCCAGCCTGGTAGCTGGGGTGCTCTATGGCTCTTTCTCCCTAAGGGAGCTCTTTCCCTCCAGGGCGCCTGGCTGTTCCTGGTCCCTGGAAAACCCAGATCCCACCAAGTACTCCCTCTACCTCCGCTTCACCCGCCACCCTATCATTTGCCGGACACACTCCCCCATGCTCCTTTCCCTTGACCACCACCTGGCCAATCAAAGCTGTCCCCTTCAATTACAGACAGCCACTGCCAGGGATCAGGAAGTCATTGATCTTTGTGGCAGTCAGTCCAACTCAGATGGACCATACTCCTTCCTACAGTTTGATAAGAACTTTGTCCAACTATGTCTAACGAGACATCCATCTGCAGATGAGCCTCAGGTAACTAAGGAATTGCTGGAGCTGAGACTGGTAGAGGTGTTACTCATTAACAATGAGAACTCCAGTCAGTTTACCTGCGGCGTGCTCTGCAGATGGTTTGAGGAGTGTTTACGCACAGGTCACAATGGAGACCAGGAGGTTTCTGACGGAGACGGTTGTGGGATGACCCAGACAGGATGTATCTGTCCGAACCACAACATCATGGCACCACCTATTCCGTTGCTCCCGGAGACACCCCACAGCTTCAGCAATGGTTCGCTGGTTCCAGACGACTGCTGTGTCACTGAGCTGCATTCCAATGAAGCAATCGCCATAGCACCCAGAGATGTCCGACAAGGTAGGATTATGTTAAACAAGCACAGGCATACAACCACATATATAAACAGTTGTTTACTTGTGTACCCAGCGTGCAGTATGAAATAGACAAGAAAAGTTTGCCTTGTTATCCTGGCTTTTGATACCACCTCAGGGAGGTTGCAAGCCTCTGCTTGACAGAGAATTTATTATTTGAATTTTGTTTGTTGGCCTTTTAATTAAAAAACGAAGCAGTTCAAAGGGGGCCCTTTAAACCTTCCATCAAAAGATTTGTAAATGGCTGTCAGAAATTCAGCTCTCTGATCTATATTTTAGAGATTCCCCCATGTGGCCAAGAGGTGTGGCTCGTAGGACTTCAGTTTCCATGCTGCACATTATTGTGTGTGTGTGTGTGTGTGTGTGTGTGAGAGAGAGAGAGAGAGAGAGAGAAACCATCTGTTGACAATGCTAGGATGAGATCACATTTGACAACAATGCACACATAACATGCACAAGGTCATTCATACGTCAATGAATTGAACACGCAGCAGCAATTCCTTTGCACAATAACAAATGGGCATGTGTGCATCTGCATACATTTGTGTGTGTGTGTGTGTGTGTGTGTGTGTGTGTAAGCAACATACATAAGTGTCCGTACAGATATGGACAAGTGCTTGTGCTAAAGCTATCTTAACCATTTCAGCTAATCTCTGCCACCAGAGTATTTACTTTAATGTAACCGTATTAGACTAAGTGAACTTAGATATACGGAGAGACACTGCACTTTGTCTTATAGTTCACTGTATTACATAAAAATGTTCCTTTGGGGGGATTATAGACATGTTTGCAGAGTGAACAGCACTAATTAGGACTTATTCTTATTGCAACACTTGGCCTGCCTTCAACAACACACTAACACACATACTGAGAACTCCAGGGAGTGTCTTACCTAGCTGACGGGAAGGTTAACGTTCTCTGGATTCAAAAAGCAGGGGGGGATTTTATCATCTAATATACTAAGAAAGGGAGAAAGGGAGGGATAGAGGAAGAGTCATGGCGTAGGAGGATGGAGGAAGAGAGAGTCTTTTACCAGTTTCACTTGGACTGATGCACAAAGACAAAAGCCAAACGGATATCGCTGCTGTGTAAATTGATGCCAAGCGTCAGGATGATACTAAACTTATGCCAGTTGCCTGGAAGCTGTGTTGGCTTTTCTACGTCTCACCTCAAAGACATTGATTTTGCATACATATTGGTTAGCGGCTGGTCACCCTACTGTACGAAGGATTACTCGTCACTCATAAAGACCGCTGTGAACCGCGGAGGCCCTTGATTAGCCTGGATAAGTGTGGGCAAGCCTTTGTGTGTAGAAAACTGTTTTCTTCCAAACAATTCCCCTATGGCCTAATTACCCTAAAACATCAGAATTACTGTAAACCCAACATCGCGCTGTCAGAGTGAGAGCCAAAATCTTGCCTCTATCCTGTCCCCCTTCTCTATACACCAAAAGACAAACACCAACGCCTTCGCTGAGTCAGAGACTCTGAGAAAACAAAGCTTAAATGATTGCTTTTTCCATCCCCATTTCTCTGTCTCCCCATCTCCCCCAAAGCATTGCATTATATTGAATCGTACCCCCTTTATCGTGATACGTATTGTATCACCAGAGATAAAATGACAGGAATCTAAAAGCAGGACAAACATACATCACAAGTAAAAAAAGAAGGTGTTTTATGTTCCTTTGTTATATTGATTTGTTAACTTACTTTGTAACTACTGCATAAATCGTGCCCTTATGTTTTGGAATGTCATTTCCCATAGTACATTCACTTTTCCGAGGTCGAGCACTTCAGAAGACTCATTGATTTACAGGTGCCACTTGACTCTTCACTTGAGTGGAAATACGCTGTGCTCGATACAGAGGCTAACCATTTTTACATTTGATCTAGATCATTTCGAATAAGCAAGAAAGATCCAAAGATCCAGAGACATGGGCAGTATGGGGGTATTTCCCTATTTTTATTCAAGAACGTGGTTTTTCTTAAGTTTGATAACATGACTTATTGATTTCATATTCAGAGTCTTAATGCTTTCCCTTGCACTCAAAAAGCCGCTTCTTGCGCTCAGATTTGCTGTGCTTGTGTTCAAACTGGTTGGATACAGGATATGTGTTAGGCTCAGGGGGGCTGAGAGCCGGCCCTGGGCATGGAGAGAGTGCTGGAGATATCTTGTTAATTCAGAAACACAGAGTCATTTTTTAAGTTAATGCAATATGCTTCCGTTCCACCATTCAGATATAAAACCTGAGGTGCTTTACATTGGCGGTCCATGTTGGCCAGGGATCCACTAAACTCGGTCCTTAACCATGAAAGTGACGTTGTTTTCCCGTCTAGCACATCGACGGGAGGCCGCTGTGTTATAGAGGCTTTTTAAGTGTGAGGGCAGGGATTTGAGGGAAAGCATTAAGAATCTGAACGTGAAATCAATAAGTCATGTTCTCAAATTAAAAAACCACCCTCTGAATACTGATGAGAAAATACCCCCATAGGGCAGGGGGTTAATCCGAATAATGTGTCCATTGCTGTGCATGCACTGTACGTGGACGATCATTGTTAGTGCAGCTGTACATGTGATTATTGTTAACAATACCCCTCATCGCAAGGTAATCTTTTGTTTTCTGAAGATTTTAATGACGCATAATTAATCTTTACAAATAGCAATTAGCAAATAATACACTTTTTTTTATCTGGAATGTGTTTTTGCCTGAAAACTGGATGGACTATAAAAAACGCACATTTTTTCTGGACTATGCTCAGCACAGGCTTTATCTTCCAATTGTGACTGTGGCTGTGATGGACAATAGTCTATTATACCAACTGACCTTGACTAAGCTCATTGTATTATTTCTGTGTCTGAAAAACCCTCTGCAGGGCTCTCTGAGGGAGGGTTTTCTTGAGGATAGTGTATCTTTATTATGGGTATTACAGGTACAGTGACCAAATTACACTTCGCATGGCATTAGATGACCTTAAGAGACATCATTTCTCTGTGCAGCAATCTGTTTGTCCTACATCCTCCCTGTTAGAGGAGAAAGAGATCTTTTTTATTTTTTTAAAGTAATGTAAATGAAGAAGTAAGCTTAATGAAGGTTTGCTCTGTGGAGTCTGTATTGTGACATTATATTTTGTATATGTATATTTTTTATTTTAGCAAGAGGTCCTTGGTATTTGTCCATCAAATATATGAATGTATTTCACTAAACAGATTTAAATCACATATCTTTGTAATACACAGTTAAACAAATATAGTCTCATTTCCATATAAATTGGGTATTATGGGGCAATGCAATCTGTATTATGCTATATAAAACAAATTTGCTGTTTCTGTTGCACTTATTCACTTAGTGAAAGTATCTGTCCCTGCATATATTTGGCATGGTTAGACATCACATCACGTTGTGTGCACGTGTATCTGTCTTTACAACATCACTCTGGCATGTTAAATAAGTTCTGAAGCAGAACTCTTTTGTATTGGACAAGCTGCTAATTCCATGCCATATAAGTTTATTATATTGTACATCTGGCCAATGTGCATGGCAGGCTTGACTGCCAGATTTTCGGTTTCAGGAAATTTACACAAATTGGGAAGAACATCCTTACCCAGCCTTCTAAATAACATTCAGAACAATAAAAAAGGCTTTTACTTAGCTGTGTCTTGTTAATTCTAAAACATTGCACTTGCACATGAACTACAATGCATAAATACATAGATGACCAGCATTCAGCACATTCATGCAGTAGAGCACTATGGCCAAATTCTTCACATTTTCTGTAACTTCCCTGCTCATGATGCAAGTCTCAGAAACTGCATTTAATCACACAAACATGTGCACGCACTCACACAAACACACACATTAACTTTTTGAGCTTCTGAGATGGTGACTGAATATCAGATCTTTTAGAAATACAAAAAAGAAAGAAAAACGTTAGATCCCCTGGTTCTCCTGTCAATCAAACCCCCCCATGCCATCAGCCCTAACACAGACACACATCATAACTGACATGGAATCAAACAAATATACCCCTGTGTATCACCTTCTCATTTTCACTAATTTTCTTCTCCTCACCATGGTAACATTTTCATTGTATTGATCTCTGCGCTACCTTTCCCTCCCTCCCGCTTCAAAAACCTTCATTTTCTTTTAGCCCAAGCAAACCAGTAACGAGAAATTCAGCTGGTGGTTGATTTTCCGCCAGACTCCTCCGCCTGTTTGTTTGTGTTGTGCCAGAAAAATTACCCTTACTGTTTTAACACATGCGGGTATTAATAACTGAAAGAAAATGTGTGACAGTGATTATTCACCGCGTTTATTAGGTGCCTTGTAATTAAGGGTTTTTATATGTTCCTCCAGACATGATAGTCAGTTTGAAAGCAATCACCAAACCCCCCTTCGGTCCTGAAACGGAAATGATTTTGTCTGCATTTGTAGTTCTGTCCATACTGTCTGTGTTCTGGTAAATACCTTCAATGGAAAGATTAGATCAGAGGCAGATTTGCTGCATGCTTTATGCCAGAAAAATGTCTCTACGTGTGTGGATAGAAAAGCCAGAGTGCTGTATGTGGCTAAGGTAATGGTAAAATAGTCACAATGTATCCTTCACTAGGTCTAGGTACAAAAGAGTACACCTGCACAGCCAGTTCTGTAGTGCCACCCGCAGGTCAAAGTTCTTCTATGTAATATCTCAAAATCTTGTTTTTTTTTTTTTTGACATCCATGGATCGTGTGTGTGTGTGTGTGTGTGTGTGTGTGTGTGTGTGTGTGTGTGTGTGTGTGTGTGTGTGTGTGTATCAGATGGATTTTGGGTAATTAAGATGGTGAATGTATGTATCAGAGGTCTGAGGGAGAGCCTTGTGCTCGAAACGTCACTAGCTGATAAAATCCTTTGATCTGTTTGTATCAACTCATAACAGACATCCATGGTTCCCAGACAGTGTATCCTACTGATGGTGGGGATCCTCTGATTTTTCCTTTATTGGCGCCAA